TGAACTAGGTACATGATCACACTTAGGGAAAGTTCATCTGTCTTAAACAAAATTAGAATATCTAACCCCAAACTTTCTATATAATACAAAATCATATCATACTATAAACATCCGCGGTAATCACTTAGTCACATAACCTAAGGGGGAACTGCCATATCTTTTATCTTACATCAATAACTGCTTCTTATAGTAGCTTACTAACGTGGTACTCCTAGTTCTGATTTGAATAAATATGAACAACTTAAAATCGTTCCCTGAAATTCACTATTGGCTGCTCTGGGTTCTCATGGCATATATCATATCTTTTAGTCATTTGCATGAGTTCTACGAAAAATACATCTCTAATGACAACAATCGTTTTTCGACTCCTAGGTATTTTACCCTTAGGCTCTTTTCTGTCCAAACTATAGTGACCAATGTTAGGATCTAACATCTGAACTATCATCATCCAACTTGTGGCTCCATTTCCAAAAATTAAATGAAGTTGTTCTAGGAGGTAAAACACATACGAGTACACTACCATGTATAAACTTATCCTTCAAAGTATACCATCATCTGATAAATCACTTATTGCGCCATCCGGTGAGTCTTGCTCTTAATCCAGACCTAAAATATGTGAAGATTTCGCTACAATCACTGTTACTTGTGTTTTCTATTAGCACCCATAGGCATTACTGTATACTCACCAGTCACCAGAATTTTGATACAATGAGAATTGGAGATCTGGCAACTGAATAACTGATAACTGGTATCCTGAATAACCATAAACTTGCTAACTGAAAGACTGTATAACTGGTAACTGAGGTAAACTGATAGTCATAAGACATGATAACTGCTTTTGTACTTTCTGATAAGGTTATGCTCTAATCTAAACTACTATCCATTGCATCCCACTTTCAACATCCTCTCAAGTCTTATATTTACCAACCTGTACACCATAATTATACCCCAATGGACAATTATCCTCTCTAGGACCTTAGGTTTCTACTACGCGTTGCTTAGGCATCCAATGCGTTTGGAATTCGATAGGAAGAGAAGGTTTATTGCTCTAAGCTTCAGGGCACGACCTAGAGTAGAAAGAAATGAGACAATCCTGGATGTCTTGGTAGTTAACCATTTATATGAGTGGCCGGCACACACATATAAAGGAAACTCCACTAGACACGGCTTCATAGACTCCCTAGGACTCTTGAACCTAGGGCTCTGATACCAAGCTTTGTCATACTCCGAACCTGGGCCTAGACGTAACACGACACTCGGTGCCTGACTACATGTGACCGAGCGAACCAACTGGCTGGCTGAATCAACATGTGATATCATAACATACTGAATGCGGAAGATAAACTAACACATGCTGATATACTGAATGTCTGAATAAGATAAATAAATACTAATACAATTCTGAAACATATTTGTAGCCAACATAACTTAACATGAAAAGCCTGGGACTCTGTCTAACTGTTACTCTAGTCTATGAAGCCTCTATTAAAGTACTGAAAGCACTAACTATCTATAAATACTGAAAGGCTGTAAAGTAATGATAATGCCCCGAAAGAACTGGGGATCACCAAATAGCTGGTACGAGAATCCTAGCGCTCTGTATCGTCGACCTATAAATCATTACCTGCATTGTGAGATGCAGGCCCCGGGCAAAAGGGACGTCAGTATATTTGAATTGTACTGGTATGTAAAGCAACTGAAAGAAAGAATTATAAATGCTGAAACTAAAACTAAGCTGATAACTGAGAATTTATAATTGATAACTGAAATAATAACTATTGAAACTGAAACTGAAATGATAACTGATAACTGACAACTGATAACTGGTAACTGAACTGATAACTGATAACTGAACTAATAACTGAAAAGATAACTAATAAGTAATAACTGAACTGAATTAAGGAAGTAAGGATATGAATACTCCCTCTTCTGAATGATGAACAACCTGTTTATCTGAATATTAAACTGCGGCATCAGGCGCAATATATATATGTGCACAACTGCGGCCTCGGGCCCAAGTATACGTATACATAACTGCGACCTCAGGTCCAAAATGCATAAAGCATAAACTGCAGCCTCAGGCCCAAATATGCATAAAGTATAAACTGCAGCCTCAGGCCCAAAGATGCATAAAACATAAACTGCGGCCTCAGGCCCAAATACAGGTGTTCAACATTCAGGGATTTGAAATCAGGAACTGAGGATCATACTGCAATACATGATGCTGAAATACTGAATCACACTGAGTTACATAATATTGGAATACTGGATCACACTGAGTTACATAATACTAGAATACTGGATCACACTGAGTTACATAATACTAGAATACTGAATGGGACTAGACTGAGACATGTATTCTTGAACTGATTATGAACACTGAAACTTCAACTATTTATGGCATACTGATATACTAAGACTCGGGGGCATCAAACCCAAGTCTATATTGAATACGCACTGAGCTCACAACGTTCAGAATGAAAGTCATGAACGAGTAATGAAGCTAGAGAATAGAAGTTCTGCAACTATTCAAGGAACTAGGCTTAACTATATTTCTGAGGCAATTAGTAACGTCGTAGAAGAAACGTAGTGTAGGGAGAATCATTAAAATTCCCAAACATAGAGAGTTAGCCTCACATACCTTAACTTCCTGCTCTTGAGCGTAATACAACATTCGCCAACCCTTTCAACTTTAATCTATATCAATACAAGTCAAAGGAATTCCATATTAGGAATAATTCTCATGTTTTAGTCACTTAAGCATTTTCTCAAACACTTGGTGAAATAAAGCTTCATAGTCCTTATTAATGGTGTTTCTATGCCCAACAAGCCATTCTCTTGATCCTAGATAAATTCTAAAATCTCAAATTTCTTACAATCAATATCATTCTTCTTCACCCATAAGATAAATAACACCCTTAACCAATAATCAACAATCAACAAGCAAAACCTATAATTGTTCATGCTTTTCTATCAAACTCATCAACTCATATCTCATGAACTTGTAGTCTACAATCATTAATCCAACGCTATAATCAATTAGAGGGTGAAGATATTACCTTCTTGACGTTCAATCTTCTTGAATTCGAGTTCTAGGGTTCCTTCTCTCAACAATGATGCCCCAATCAAATATCTAACGATTTGGAGGGTATACCCATGTTAATAAGATGTTAGGAAATTGAAGTTAACTTAGAATCACCACTAGAACTTCCCTTAGGTGGTGGAGGGACCCTTAAGGAGTTAGGTTTTTGAGAGTTCCCCTTTCTAGAGCAAGTTTTTATGCTTTGGGGCTGTGGGGGACGAAATATAGCTTTAAAAAGACCCCCCACGAGCGCGCCCACGCACCTGGAGACCTGCCCGCGCTACTGACCGCGCTATGGGCGCGCTACCGGGCATGCATATCGCATACTGTTCTGTAAAACGCGCATAACTTTTTGCACAGAGATCCGTTCGGGCTCCATAATATATCCTTGGAAAGCTATTTCAAAGGCCTACAACTTTCAGGCTTTGTGTTTTCCCAAATTCCTTACAAACTTTCACTAAACTTTGCTGGAAGACAGACCTTCTGCAAGATTTTGACAAATCTTATGCACCTTACTTTCCATCTTGATTTTGAAACAACTATTTTCACCCATAATCATTCCGATGGGACTTCACATGTTCAAAATATAACCTTACTACTCTTTTAACTCATTCATACCTAAGACGAATTTTCGGGGTGTTACACTTATGTATCATATGTGTATCCCCTATGTAAAACTCTTGTATGTCCATGTATACTTGTGTCTAAAATATACGTGAATACATGTTTGATACATGTGTTGTAGAGGAACTTTTTAAACTTGAATTTAGCTAAGAATTTTGATATCAAAACAATCCAAATCACCTCCAATCTTCCTCAAATCTAATATATTGCCTCATCTATTTGTTCTCGACGAATTCTAACCATATCCATTGAAAATAAATTCTTTTGTGCCTTTTTTTTTTAAAATATTGTATATTATTGGTAACGAATTTTCACTCCAAACTAGAGTTCAATTCACCTACAGTCTTCCTCAAATTTTTTATATTGGTCCATCTATGTGTTTTCAGGGAATTTTGATATTACCCAAAAAAAAAAAAGAAATCTTTTTTTGTCCAGATTTTTTGAATATTGTATATCATCAGTAATTAATTTGGCTATTTTTGGTAAAATGACTAAAATAACTAATTGTTGGTAAGTTAGTAGTGTCTTTTTGTGGTACATCTATGTAGTTTTCCCTTATTTAATTTGTTCTCTTTTTTCCGCATTTCGTTTTTCTCTCTCTTGGAGAAAATTGAGTATAATTGACTCATTACTAGAAATGTTAAAATTAGTTACTATGAAAGAATCCGAACATCTAATTCAAAATTCTAAGAAAACCTGACTGTGTTTTTAACCTTGCACACAATCTAAAAATATTAGCGTATCAGTTATCACACAACGCATAAGATATCTCGACTAGCTAGACCAAGATTAATATTTATAACGAAAACATAATTAAAGCTATACTTTAAATTTTTCTAATTAAGTTACTGGGTAGAACTTAATTAACTCTCTTACAGTGAGAAGACTCGACAGTCACAATCTTATCACACATTTATTTATTTCGTAATCATTTGTCCTTTATTTATTTATTTATTTTATTTATCTTTCTCATTGTGTGCTTTGGTTAATGTAAAACGGAAAAAATCAAGATTCTAAAAGATCCATTCAAAGCTACTCCCTCGGTTCACTTTTACTTGGTATGTATACTAAAAATAGATTTTCATTTAACTTGTCACTTTACGCTTATCAAGAGAAGACAATTTTTTTTCCTGTTATATCCATAGTATTTATTACTCATTTCAAATCATTTTCTCAAATCCAATAAAATATGCATCAATTAATGTGAGTATCATGGTAAATTATGCACTTCATTTATTATTTCTTAAGGGGCATGAAAAGTCAAAACGTGCCAAGTAACAGTGAACGGATGGAGTAGTAAATAAACATGTACTGTTACATTAATTTTCCAACCTCTTCTTGATAATTACAAAGGCTAGAGTAGACAGCTATGGCAATCTGATGTACATTTACAACATTTGTTAGTACTTCATAGGTCGACAGAATTTCACGATACCTGTGTTCTAGCCAGGTTTCGCTTGCCTATATTTTCACCACTAAAAAAAAGTTACTGGATTTTGCCATAAACCTTAAGGTTACGTTCTACTGTAGTACTTTGTATTTGGAGAAGTACAAACCCTGTAAACATGTTCTTCCCCAGTGTATTCATCAACCTCAACAACCCAGTGGCTCCTCTTTCCACCAACAATCTTTTTACCTTCTGAAACAGTAATTTTACTAACTAATAACCCTTCTCCAATGGGTAGAAAATAACCCTTATGATCAAAACCTAGCTTAGGACCTTCATTCAGGGCATTGTACCCTACAATAAATGCACCTTTAACACTAACACCTTGTTGTGCTGCTTCAAATACTTCTTGGAAATCCTCCAATTTACAATCGATAAGTACAAAATCAGCTCCTTCATAATTACTTGCCAATAAAGTTTTGACATCTGAACCAATCACAAACTCAACAAAATTTGCATAGTCTCCCAATAATGCTTTTTTAGCTGCATGCATGTCTTGTTGTGTACGTAATATGCATATCACCCGGCCACTGGTTTGATGAGCCGCCGCTACTAAACCTAGTAGGGCGGATCCAGGGTGGCCGGAGCATGCCATCACCATGAGTTGTGCATTATTTCCGGCTGCCATGGCGGATATGAACTCTGTTACATCAGGCGCTTTTCCTCTTTCACCCTGAAATATAATTTCCACAATTAATAATAAATTTATGAGTATATCACTGAAGAGGGACGAACTTAAAGAAACGATATAAATAGTTTGAATTCATATAGCTGATCCGGATTTACTAGGGTATAGTAGTTATTATTATTTTGTTATTTTATAGAAGAGAAACTAGCTAAAACTCAGAAAAATAAGTACAAATTAGAGGAGAGGAGAGATTATATTGCGCGTAGTAGTTACCATTTTTAGCGTTTTGAGAAAGGCATTGGTAGCATTTTCAGCAGACCAGCAATCCATTCTTCACGATTCTGCTATTAAGTGTTATTTGGATTGTTTAAACCAATTTATAGGAAGGGTTGATTTAAGTAGACAAGATTGTCTTCCTTCAAGTCTTAATTAATGAGGTTAAGTTACAATAATAATTGCATTGGAATGAAACAACTGAGGAAGGTATTTATTGACAAGATTCTGCCGTGCCAAATGGCTTTTTAAAACAAGATTTCAAATTTGTTGACCAGAGTGGAGAGCATCACTTTCTTGTTAATGTGTAATTAGGAGTATTTTAATTTATTAGAAAATACTTATTCGCACCTAAGTATGCACCATATATATATATATATATATATATATATATATATATATATATATATATATATATATATATATATATATATATATATNTATATATATATATATATTTCAACTTTCACAAAACTTTTTTCCTAACTTCAACTCAAATAGTTTCCACACACCTACATACTAATATGTATTATTACTTCCATTTATCACTTAATACTGGTAAATTCAAAATGGTGCAATGGTCCGATGAGTTGTTCCATATTTTATTTGTTTTGTATGTTATCTTCCACCTAATAAAATATGGTTAATCATTAATTAGATACGTAATTGTAATTAGGATGATGAAAGGTTTGAAAAAGTGGTTTATTTTTTTAAATTCTTCTAGTTAGGTCAAGTCACATGATTCATCTCAAGCCTTTTCTAATATCCGGATACTAAAGGGGAGAAAAAAAAAAAGAACAAAAAAATATCAGAACTCCTTTTCACACTACTAGAATTCCTGCATAAAGCGACCAAACTTTAGCGACCAAAGTTGGTCTGCCAAGAAAAGCGACCAAAGTTGGTCGCTAAACTGGTGAAAATAATAAAATAATGATTTTAAATAAATTAGCGACCAACGTTGGTCGCAGCTTGGTCGAAAATTTTGTCAAACTGTTGACTGGACTGGTCAGACTTGCTTGGTGGGACCCACTTATTAAATATTAATAATTATAATATTATTTTTAAAAAATAATAAAATATAAATAAATAAAATTTAAAATTAGCGACCAAAGTTGGTCGCTATATAAAGAGAAAACAGGTTGAGACCAACTTTGGTCGCTAATTTGGGACCTAGTTATAAAATTTTAATAATTATAATTTTGTTTAAAAAAAATTATAAAATATAAATAAATATAATTCAACTTTAGCGACCAATGTTGGTCGCTCAGTAGAGTATAGACCAACTTTGGTCGCTAATCTGGGACCCGGTTAATATTTTAAATAGAGATAATACATAAATTACCCATCAAACTTGTCCGGAAAAATCATTTACACACCTTAACTTATACGGGCGACCTATGTCCCTCCTATTCTTGTTTGGGGTGAATTTAAGATCACCCTAAATGGTGACGTGGCAAAGAGAGTAGCTTCACTCTCCCAATCTCGCGTGTAAGAGGGAAAAATTTTTACTGCGTGGGTCCCTTTTTCGTTTACTTCTTTTTTTCTTATTTTTTTCTCTTTTTGTTTTCTCTCTCGACCTTTTCTTCTTCCTCTCACAATTGCAAAAATCATTTTTTTTAACAAAATATTTTTTTGTAAAAACATATTTGTAAAAACTGATTTTTTTTTTTGTAAAAACAAAATTTTTTTTTTCACAGTTTTTTAATAAAATATTTTCGTTTTTTTAAAAAACTGAAAAAAAATTTCAACAAATTATTTTCGCTTTTGAAAAAAGTTTTTTTTCTTCATTTTCTCAGTTTTTTAAAGATTTTTTTTTGCAAAAAATGGAAAAACAAAATATCTTTGTTTTTTAAAAACTAAAAAAATTATTTTCAACAAAATATTTTCGTTTTTGAAAAATATTATTTTTATTTTTTCAGTTTTTTAAAAGAATTTTATTTTGTAAAAACTGTAAAAACTATTTTTTTTTGTAAAAACAGAAAAAAATCGTTTTTGAGCTGATATTGACACGTGGCGCACGTGTACTACATTATCATTGTTTAACAAATATCTTTGTTTTTTAAAAACTGAAAAAAATATTTTCAACAAAATATTTTTCGTTTTGAAAAATATTATTTTTATTTTTCAGTTTTTTAAAAGATTTTATTTTGTAAAAACTGGAAAACAAATTTGTAAAAGCTAATTTTTTTTTTTGTAAAAACAGAAAAAAATCGTTTTTTGAGCAGATATTGACATGTGGCGCACGCTGGTACTACACACCACACACAACTGACTAAGTGTTACCAATGGGGTATTAAATTCACCCCAAACAAGATGATTTTTCCGGACAAGTTTGATGGGTAATTTATGTATTATCTCTTTTAAATATAATAAAAAAGATAAATAAATCTAGTTTAAATTTAGCGTCCAACTTGGGTCGCTAATTTAAAATTATGTATATTTAGCGACCAAAGTTGGTCGCTATTTAGGTCAAAATTGGTCAAAATTAAAAATCACTTTTGTATATACTATGCACTAAGTATAAGTGTATTAGGTAATGTTATATCGAATAAAGCTTATATATATTATATATATATATACACTTACGCTATACTATGCACTAAGTATAAGTGTATTAGGTAATACTATATCGAATGTAGCTTTTATATATATATAACATATATA